CCCCCAGAAGTCGGCGGCTGCCGCGGCCGAGAGCCCCAGAAAGGCAGCTTAGGCTGCCAAGCCCAACAAGGCAGCTTCGAAAAGCTGCCAGGAGGCGACACTGTAAGAGAAAAGGAGATTTTTTTTGAAAAACCTAAAAGCGCTTTTAAAAACCACCCACGCTGTCAGAATGAAAGAGAACGGATATATCGCTTCAAGTCCAGACTAGTAACAGCGTGATCCCATGGCACGCGTATGCGCGACTTTCCACAAAGTTCTGTAGGAACTCACACGCTACAGGAGACTAAACTTCAGCTTGCTTCACCTTCACTCGTGATCCTCCATCACGATTCGCACCCCCACCACTCAACCACCGCAGCCCTGTGGAAACCGTCCTGGTTAGTCACGAGACAGTGTCCAAGCAATATACTCAGAGTTCTCCCACTACTCCTCAAAAGCCGAGAACTGCGAGCAGAAGGAAAAGGCACCCGACGAGCAGTCGCCCCGCGCAAAGCGCGCGGACTCATTTTCCACCCGCGAAAATGGGGCAGCGCGTTTGAAAACCGCGCGCTCCCCCCAGATTGGTCGGAAGCGGCCCCGTAGACACACGTGCCCCGCCCCCTCCCAGCCCACCTCTGCCCGGACTGGAAGTGGCTGCCCCCCGCCGAAACCAGGGATAGGGGGGGAAGCGAGCCCGCCCTCGCCGTGTCCTCATCTCTCCTTACACCACGCCGCGGTGGCTGACGTCAATAGAAACTGCTGCCTTTTATTGATTTTTCAAAAACGTGAAACTGAGAACCGCTTACACACGGACACCTGAGCTCCTAAAGAAAGGAAAGTACAGGGACCTACATCGATCAGCAAAGTAAAAGTTGAAGACGCATAGAAACTTACGCTGCAGAAACCTTCCTCCAACATCTAAAAAATTTCCAGACACACCAAAACACACGGTGTCCAGACAAGCACGTATTTGTCTGCTCAGGTGTTCCTGCTCTTTCTGGGACAACGTGGGTGGCTCTGAAAAGAGCCTTTGGGTCGGTTGTTGAAAGAGATTTACTTGGCCTTGGCCTTGTGGCTGTCAGTCTTCTTAGGCAGCAGCACAGCCTGGATGTTGGGCAGCACCCCACCCTGCGCGATGGTCACCTTGCCCAGCAGCTTGTTGAGCTCCTCGTCGTTGCGGATGGCCAGCTGCAGGTGCCGCGGGATGATGCGCGTCTTCTTGTTGTCTCCCCGCGAGGTCCAGGATGTCGGCCGTCAGGTACTCCACCACGGCCGCCAGGTACACCGGGGCGCCGGCACCCACCCGCTCCGCGTAGTTGCCCTTGCGCAGCAGCCGGTGCACGCGGCCCACGGGGAACTGCAGCCCGGCCCGCGACGAGCGCGACTTGGCCTTGGCCCGCGCCTTCCCGCCCTGCTTCCCACGGCCGGACATAGCTCAGATAAAAGTTTAAAAAAGTAAAAAAAACAAACCCCGAGTACAAACCTAAGCGGCAAAGAGAAACGCTGTGAAATCGGCACAAACAGAGCGGGAGCCGCCACCCTGCCTTTTTATCCCTTCCTTCTGGGGTCCGGCGGGACTTCTCATTGGCGGAGGCTGCGTTTGTGAAGTTGACCAATGGGAAGACGGATGAAAGACCGACAAATGGAAGATGCAGGGCGACTTGACATCACAAACCCGTACTGTCCAATAGGCGAAAACAACCTTGAGTCATCTCATTTGCATACCGCCCCTATAAATATGGGTGTCGCCGCTATTGTATTTACGTCGTTCCTGCGGTAGACAGGTAGTGACAGACTTGTGAAATGCCGGAACCGGCTAAATCCGCTCCTGCTCCGAAGAAGGGCTCGAAGAAAGCCGTCACCAAGACGCAGAAGAAGGGTGATAAAAAGCGCAGAAAGACTAGGAAGGAGAGCTACTCGATCTACGTGTACAAGGTGCTGAAGCAGGTGCACCCGGACACGGGCATCTCATCCAAGGCCGCCCCCGCGCCCAAGAAGGGCTCCAAGAAGGCGGTGACCAAGACGCAGAAGAAGGGCGACAAGAAGCGCAAGAAGAGCCGCAAGGAGAGCTACTCGATCTACGTGTACAAGGTGCTGAAGCAGGTGCACCCGGACACGGGCATCTCGTCCAAAGCCATGGGCATCATGAACTCGTTCGTCAACGACATCTTCGAGCGCATCGCCGGCGAGGCCTCGCGCCTGGCGCACTACAACAAGCGCTCGCTCGCGGGAGACCCAGACGGCCGTGCGGCTGCTGCTGCCCGGCGAGCTGGCCAAGCACGCCGTCTCCGAGGGCACCAAGGCTGTCACCAAGTACACCAGCTCCAAGTAGAGCGTCTCGGACCGCCCCTTTTAACCCAAAGGCTCTTTTAAGAGCCACCCACCTTTTCAGTAAAAGAGTCGTTCACACTGATTCGGTTCGGTGAGTCGTACTTCTGTTTAGCACTGTTTTAGTTCCCAGACTAAAACGTGTTCTTTAATAGCGGAGAAAATGTTTGTCTCGTTAAAATGCGGCGAATCGTTTAGGTCATCTTGTACATGCCCTACCCCAGCTATTCATCGGACAGGTCTATAAGAAGAACGTTAAGCACCTAATCAAGTTCTAAAGGTATTAAAGTTTTCCTGCCTTAGTTTTAGAGTGATAATGTCGCCTGTGGCGTTTTAATAAATACAGAGAAATCTACATGTAGCGTTTAGGGTGTGTTGGTGTTTTTCCCTGCTGTTTTGATATTAAAGTTGGTTTTTTTGTTGTTTTTTCTGCTTTTTTTTTTCCAGTAACTGCCTTATTGCAAAGCAGTTTATACTTTTTTTTTTTTTTCCTAACAAAAGGTCGTTTTCCCCTTTAAATATTCGCTGTCATTCTCAAACGACTTGGCTACAAACCAAAGCGGCTTGTTTATTCAGGAAGCTCCATAGGGATTAGTCTGTGTATGCGTGATGTTTGAAAGACAATGTTTAGTGAAAGTTATCACGGCATGCGCAGCAGAATTGAAACGATGCAGAGAAAAGTATAATTTTCTTAGTCCCAAAGATTTCGTATGGAGGTGGCGTAGGTTTTTTTTCTGCCTTTCTTTGACAGAATAAGCGCGGGAAAATAAAGGGGTTCCTCGTAGCTCCCAAGTGACAAGGTGATGGGAGAATACAAGCAAAAATAAGAGATGCTAAAGAAAAAAAAAAGTGAATGAGTGCTTTATCGAAGTTCAGGTGGTGCAGGATGTGCAGGGAAGGCTGGCTTTTCGAAAAAGCCTTGTGCAAGAGGGCTGAAATCCTGGCTTCCCGGGAAAGAGGCGGTGATAAAAGCGTCTGTTGCACAGCCGGAGTGAAAAATCCGCGTTCGCTGGCGGGATGCCGCT